TTCGTGACAAAGAAAACCAGGGATTAACTCGTTCTCCAACAAGGTTTTCAATCTTAAATGGACAATGGAAAAGTTTCATAAACTAATCCAAAGTCATATTTCCCGTAAATTCTAAAAAGCTCTACCACTCATTTCCGATATGTTGAATAAATTTAATAAAATATTAAATGTAGTAATTATTTTATCATGACCTGTCCATTTTAAGGAAACGAATCTACAAGATATATTTAACTACGATCTACAATCTACGTTCTACTATCTACAATCTACGATTTACGAGGTGCAGATTCGTTTCCTTTAATAAACAAAATTCGCACTCACCGACCTGACGCACAGCAGCGGAGTTGTTGTCTATCTGTAACACAAATATAAAATTTATATTAAAAAACAATATTTAACAAAATAATTTTGCAAAATATAATTTTAACGCGTATCTGACTTTTTATTTAGTTAGATTTAAATATCGTGAAAGATTTACCGCAAAAGATCTTTATCTTAATTTTTTAATTATTTTAAAATTATGGAGAAATAAAATGACTCAACAATAAACCGGAAAACATTAATTTTACAAAACAGGAAAAATAATATTTACCGTAAAGTTGCTCCGCCGGCGCCTGAAGCCTCTCCAAAGCCTCCTCCTCCTCTCAGACTGTCCTCTGGCACACTCGCGAAAACACTAAGATCGTTCGTGCGATTCTACACTCCCGATTACAAAGCTTTGAAATGTCTTTATTAATATCTTTATTAATTAACGAATACTATACGGCACTCCCGAACGCGATGGGTACCTTTGGTTGTCCCGTCTTTAGGGTCTGTACTCTCTAAAAATTAATCAGTGCATCATTACTGTAAATCAGTGAATATTCATTGTTTTCAGTAATAATCCACTGAGTGATTTTTAGAGAGTAACCCTTCAGGGTACTTAAGCCCCTCCACCACGACAAGGTAGTACCCGAGGAGGGGATTATCAACAAGAAACTGTGCAATTATGTGTATAATACTTCAAATTATGCGATATTCGTCGCGACAAATCACTGTAGAAATTAACGATGCGATTTGACATCCATTTTTAGTTTATTATCAATGATTATTCTCGTTTCGAAAAATCTATAACACTCTCGTATTACCGACATTTTATGCATGCAGCACGGAACACAACCAAAATTGGGCACTGCATTACCCGCTTGAAAAATGGGCGTAGAACGGACACGCACCAAGTGGAGACTTTATCGGCAGTGCTTGAGCATGGGTGTAGCGAAATAGTTCCAAAAATGAAAATGGGCGTAAGGCGCTGAAATCAGCCGAGCGTAGGTACAGGGAAAATAGTGTAAAAAGAACATAAAACGCTACATAACCTGACGGTTGAACGGCGTTTTCGTGAAAGGAAAAGAGAACAAAAACTTGATGTTTCTGTTTTTATCAACCAAAAAGACAGTAAGAGAAAGTAGAATAAAGAACCAAATAACAGGATGCAACAAATGAGAATATGAAAATGCTGTGAATGATTTATATGTGTTGTTTATCACATCAAAAAGCTGAATATTTTTCTTAATTGCAGCTGTATATATTTGAATATTATCAATTGACAATTATTGTGAAAGTTTTTTCGAGTATTTGCTTATTACTGTGCAACACGACAAGATGGGAGGCGGAGATTTGGTAAGTTTGTCATAATCTACTGAGATTAGAATGATACCAAGTCAAATGTGTTATTTGCTCTATTTTTACATAAAACACACCCACATAACTTTACAGAATTTGAAGAAATCATGGCATCCGTCTACTATGAAGAATATGGAGAAGGTAAGGAAGGCGGAGCAGCAAAATGTCCAGGAGACTAAACGGATAGCCGAATTGAAGAAGGAGATTGAAATGGAGAAGGACATGGAGGACATAAAAAAGTACGCCATCGAACAAGGTGTGATAGAGAAAAAGGATGATAAGAAATTGGACTGGATGTACAAGGGGCCGAATCAAGTAATCAATAGAGAGGAGTACTTATTAGGAAGGCCAGTTGATAAGGCTTTTGAGCAAATGCAACAGGCAGAAAAAGATATCGAGCTGAATAGGATGCCAAAGAATCACGTTGAATACGGTAAATGTATATGTTTAATGCCCGAGCACGCACTCGTGCGTGCACACCGAGACCCATTTTGTTGATTGAAACGAAGTTTGTGGAGTAATTTGATCAAATCATTTTGTTGACCAAACATGTAATCCGATAGTATAAAACAAGAATTAAATTTTGTTTCATCCAACAAAATGCATGGGTGTGTGCGTAACTGAGTGCGCAAGTTCTATGTCATATTACTGGGTTTTGATTAGTTATTATTTAAAAGCAATTGTAATTGTGACATTTTTATACTAAAGTTCAATTTTGTAATTTCTCTTTTGCTGTATATTTAGCTTAATGTATATATGTATATTGTAACATGTGTAAGTAAATAATAGATATATATCTTTTGTATAATATCAGAATGCATCCCACCTTCACTGCGATTTTTCTCTGGCAACGAACAAGTGGATCTGGCTAGAAAAATACAAGAGGATCCTCTGTATGCTATAAAGAAGAAAGAAATGGAAACTAAGAATCAGCTTTTGAAGAATCCTGTTAAATTAAAACAACTTAAGGAGTTGGTAAGTGGATGCTAATATATGTATTTACTTTTTATGTTGAATATTTATTAACACTTTTGTTATTTATAACAACTTTTGTAATTTATGTAAATAATTTAGCTGGAGAAACAATCGAACAAGAGTAAAAGTCAAAAGAAAAAAAAGAAGTTGAAGCAGAAGGATAGTAGCGAGGATGAGGCTAGATTGGATATTTTGTTAGCTACTAAATATAAACAATTAAAAGACAATATTAGTGAAAAGGACTTGCTGAAATCAATGAAAAAAATAAGTCACAAACAAGCGAAGAAGTCCAAAAGGCATCGTGATTCTGACAGCGAAACGGACAGCAGCAATGACGATACTTCTATCAAAGAAAAATGGTACAAACGACAAAAAAAGCGAAGAGAAAGTACAAGTGACAGTGACAATGACAGCGATAATAGTAACAGTAACAAGAGCATCACTAAATGTGAAAGGGAGGATAATAAAAAGAAATATGATAGAAAATATTCGAGAAATGACACAAAAATAGACGACAGTAAGAAAGAAGTTAGAAGAAGAAAATTGAGTGAAGACAGAAATCCGAATTATGAGAGAGGCAAAAAGTATAGAGATGAATATGACACAAACAGTAAACGACGACGGTATGACAGTAATAGACAAAGAGATGGTTCAAGAAATAAATACGGTGATGAAAAGAGATATTCAGTGGAGAAACAAAATGATACAGTGAGTATGAGAAAACTCTCAAATTTTAATGATGCAAAGTTTTAAATTAAAATATTCGATTTTAGTTATCTAATAGCAACAGACTACCAGTCGTTAAATCTACTTCTAATACCGATTATTTTAAATTCAAGGATAGAAAAGAAGAAAAATACAGATCAAAAGCAAGATCGAGTCTTACTGAGAAGGAAAAGGAACAACGGCGAAAAGAGATGATGGCAAACGCAGTATGGCGTGATAAAGAAAGAGAGAGAAACGTAAAAATATACCGCGAGCAACAGAAGAAGGAAGAGCAAACTACATCGTACGATAAGGATTTTATCAGGTACATTAGACGTATCTTACGTTCAAATATAAATTTTTGTAATATACTTTTCTCATGAAATAAATTAAAATTGAAACTGGACGTTTGTTGTAGAAAACAATTGGTCGTCGCGACAGAAGTGGGTACTATCGCATCTAGAATTAAATCTAACATTAACAACATACAACGTTCCGGACGAGCCATGGATACAAATTTCGCTAAAAGATGACTTTTATGTCCGATTACATGAACTTTATACAATTATACATATAGTACTGCGATTTTTATCTAGAAACTATACATAAATGTAAAAATATTAAAACATATTATTATTACCTGGGAGAGTAAAAATTTTAGTAGTAAATCTTCGCCGGATTATTGTATCATCGCTTTATATGAACGTATAATACATAACGAAATGTATATTGCATCTATATACAATACTTCCATGCTAACATTAAATAATAGTCTCAAATTTAATTTCAATAATTGACTCATATCATTATGTAATTTTACACATTTCTCGAGGCGATTCAATGACATCACTGGGATCCACAATAGTTGTCACGCAGCCGCCTGTAAGAACATTATTAACTATGGCCCTAGCAAGATATCCCGTAGTCATCGAATAATGTGCGGAGAAGAACGACGATTTGTCATCGATATTAGATAAATTGTGATCCTGTGAAGACATAGCAATATAGAAGTTTTTGAAACAATAGATTAACACTTATATGTATGCGTGTATTACCTTGCAGTACATGATAAAACTATCTTCCACAAGCTGATTGAGATCTAATTGTTTCTGAAAACTTAATTCTGGATTTCGAAGCAGAATAGTCGACATGATACTCAAAAGCTGTAATACAATTGGAATAACATATTTATTATATAAAATAAAAATTGCAAAACTAGATCCTCGTATTCTTTTTTTCTCTTTCTCTCACACACACGCACACACACTCTACTTTTATTTTTTCTATATATTGCTTTATATTTCATCTCTTAATCTTAAATTTCACTGCATATCTTTTGCTTTACACTTTTCAATATAAGAGTGTATTAATTATTTTGCAATTTTTACGAATTTTTTTAAATTATTCCCAAATAATGTTTTAATTTGCTGTACATTTTTGCCGTATATATACAATAATAAATGTAAGAAATAAAAGTAGGTATAAGAAAAATTGATCACTTACTTCGATTATAATTTGACGATATTCTGGTAGCTGTATGCGATGCAATAAAGATTCTACGAGGAGGGCAAATGTGAGCTCAGAACGAGTCATGCTGGACAATGTGGTTTGCTGAGGAAGTTCCTGCCCGTTCACTACGATACCACTAGGACAACGCATCAAGACTTCCCACACTTGATTATAGAAGTGTGCTGGCACTCTACACAAGCAACCTTCAATTTTTCGGCGACCGAGCACCGTCAGGCTGTTGGCAACAGACAATATAATCAATGAACATTAAAAAGTTAAATATGATGGGTAATTTTATTAATTATAAAATGACATACTTTTCCTCATGAGCCCACTCCTTTACCGTCAACACTTTAATAAGAAACTGTCGGACTTCATAAGGGCTGTAATTTTCAATCGGCTTGGCATCTTTCACAAACATTTGCAGGTAAAGTTTCATCGCCTCCAAGACCCATCTAAACATTTGAATAACAGTTAAGTGTTTTCGCACAGCAACGATTAAAAATGTTATTGAATGCAGTTGTTCTGTACCCGATGCGTATTTTTAATATCCCTTTGAACATCTCTGGATTAGTACCAATAAGTCGACCGCAATACAATAGAATTTCTTGTTGGAGCACAGCCTGCACTGTATTGTGCGGCTGTATAGTGGAATACATCACCGATTGTATTTCCGCCGGCGTCATGGGTTTGTCGAATACCGTTTCTTTCTGCCCAATCACTCCTACCGCGATCTAACATCATTAATAATATACTGCAAGAGTTAAAACATTGAATGTAGAGCCAGTTTTTCCAACCTCTTGGTAAGCTAATAGTTAAATTATGTCTCTCTTAGTTTTGACTTTAACTTGAAGGAAAAACAAAGACATACATATGATTTAACTATTAGTTAACTTATTAGAGAACAACCGGCAACAACCCATAGAGTTTACATGTATTTAATACCTGTTTTCCTTTGACTAGTACACCCGTGATGAAAGGACTAATGCTGTCTACTGTATGATTCAACAGACTACTGCAATAGCGTACAGCCATCCAGTACCTTAAGGATCCAGCTTGTTGATATAATGATCTCAAATGATCACGAACTGAAAAATGATAAAAATACCCGATTAAATGCAGAAGATAACAATAAAAGATGAAGCTGAGTAAGAGGGGAAGAAAGAGATCAAATACCTGTCACTCCATTGATTTCGTAACTAATCCCTTCTCGTTTTATCAGAATGCCGTACAACTGGCACTTGGCATACAAGCCGATGTTATTGCGAAGTTCGTTTAATATATTGCCATGAGATTCATTTAACATATACTAAAAAACAGAATACCGGTTGTTAGTTATGGATGCTTTCATTTGATCAGGGATTTTTATGTAGTGCCTTTAACATGATTTCGTACAGAATAATCCTTTACGCTTTCGGAATAAGCAATGGCCTTCGGGACGTCCGTGAGACTCTGATAGCCAATATAATCATGCTGCAATTGTTTAAACTGTGTCAAGTCCAAGTTTGTTTCCATTGTATTTACAAAGTCCAAATGTTCTGTGTATAATTAACATGAATTTTATTATGAACATGTTATATTCAAAATCAAAATGACACATATTTCTTTTTACAATTTGCTCAATCGTATGTTTAAAGGATAAACGTCTGTTTGAAAGAAATTGTTTCTCACTTTGTCTAAAAAAAGTGACTCAACAGACATCGACTTTCACTTTTCTTATTAGTCAGAAGTTAAATATTATAAATTATACAATTATTATATTTTATTATTATTCAAAAAATGTCAAAGCATGTAAATTGTCATTTAAAAGATCACTCTAGACTTGGATAGGAAACTTACTAACATTAAAACCGAGCCAGTTTTTTTCACGAACTACTCACTTTGTGCAGAAATCTTAATGAAATCTTATATGAAATATTACCGATGCAAGAAGACGAGATCAGATTTTGCAGTCGGCCAATGCGTACTTTCGTCTTGTCACAGTAGCCTTTCTTCAACATCGCAAATAGGTCTAACATCTTTTTAAATTGCGGATCTCTAAACAAATTTTTCCCAAGATAAGCTCATTTTCGTGGCCAATTGATAAATGTACAAACTTACCGCATGTGTTCCTCCCGTATCAAAAGACATACGGTGGGTCGACCAGAAAGGCGCCAATACTTGCCTACGAATTGTAGTTCCGTTTTGATATCGTCGATCAGTAGAGCCATATCCCTATATAAATAAAACTCAGACACTTCGAAGATCAAAGGGTAGCAAAGCACTGTCATACCACAGACTCTGTATATCTGTACATGCAAAAGAATTCGTCTGTCAATGTTATTTCACATATCATACGATAAATATATCATTGAATGATGACAAGCACGTGCTTTTTAGTTTTACTTCTTCAAAGAAAGAAATATAAATCCATACCTTGCTTGTACCTAAAGAGCCTATTGGCCGTGCGGGTCGTCCCTGGAGATCCAGCTTTTTGTTCACTCCTAATTTTTGGTAAACCTTCACTAGCTGGGTAGACGACAGAATCTGAACAGGCTCAACTTCGTGCGGCGTTTGCGTCTGAATACCATACGTCGCCATCATGGCTTGCAATCGCATAGATTCTGCGATCAGCACTATTTGTACTACCAGGTCGGTGTGAGTGCCCTGATATACAAACGTACAGCAGTGCTCATAAATCACGGCGTAAGAATATTTCTCGAGTCACATGATAATAAAAAAAGCATAGACTCTGCGATCAGCACTATTTGTACTACCAGGTCGGTGTGAGTGAGTGCCCTGATATACAAAAGTATGGCAGTGCTCATAAATCACGGCATAAGAATATTTCTCGAGTCGTATGATAAAAGCAGTAATTAATTTCATTTCATTTATTTTATTATTTTAACTAGCGTGTATGTGACTCTGTATAAGTTCGTGATAAGCTTGAAAATATGAGGCAAATAACAAACTGCAAACAGGAAACACGTGTTAAATACGTTTCCGAGTTAATCTTGATCTTTTCTCTACATCTCATCACATGCTGAATTATAATAACGTATTACTTCACTCATAATACGTTAAAAGACAGAAAAACTAATGCATGTTACATTATACTGTACTATCATACTACAGCAGGCATATACTTTAATTAAATTACTTACAATAGTGGGCTTTGCCTGTGTAGAATAACAAAAAATTATTAACTTTTGCACCTAAGTTATGAAAATTAATTACCATAAAGCAATTAAATATCTTTCAAAATCATTGCGAGCTGGTATACACAATTTGTTTTAAAAAGTTACATAATGGGTTACTTAATTCCAGAAGGAAGGTGTATTAAATAGATAACTGTTTATTTTTGGAATGTTACGACTCAAGTCAATCAAAGTGATAGATTAACACATGTATAGATTAAAAATATAGAACTTATATACTTGAGATATATATATATCCCTTTTTCTCTTTTACCTGGAAAGCGGAATATCTTCCTGCTCGCCTCGGACGATTATACGATGGAAGGTATCGACGAATCGGATCTAATTCGTTGATGTGCAGAAGGCCAGCGGTAAGTAGCTGTGCAATTACAAACATAGCTTGATTCCAGAGATATATCGGCGTAGCTTCTTGATCCACAGACTTAGCGCCTCTCCCTTCGTCGCTAGGTAGCCGATAAGCGCTGCACGGCTCATTCCTCTCGGCTTCCAAATTTTCCACAGGCACGTAATAGCACATAGGAATCACCGGATCTACATCACGCGGAATAAATCTTACTTATGTCTCAGTTATACGATTAACGAAGATAATTTGCAAGATACTGTCTGCGTTACAGGTATCGCTCGGATAAAGTTAAAAACGAAACGTTATTGGTCAAACACCTCCATTCGAATCCTTGTACATTCTTGCTTTCAATAAATTTTGATACTCTTCCACCTGCTCCGTCAAACTTTTGAATACACCATCTATTATCATGAAGATATAAAACAATGGCCATTCACACTCGATATTGTCGAAATCCTGTTGAGGCAAAATGTCAGTTGCTCTATTAGAATTTAAAAGTCAATTTCTCGAAAAAGTTGACCGCGACGAATGCCGCGCGTTTCAGTACCTTGATCTCCCCGGATTTGTAATATCGTCGCTGTTTGTCCTCCAGTACCGTTTTATAACCGTCCCTTCCGAATCGTTTGAAACCATAATTGCCTTTCAGTCTGCGGACTATGCTCGCTTTCGTTTCGTCGTACAGCACTTCTTCGTGCGTCGCAAAGGCAGGGAAGGAGATCGTTGGCAGCAGGGCCGCGTCCACGCTCTATAAATCACGTACCTTTGTAACGATTAGTCTGAGCGTTTTGCACAACTGAAATTGCTTACTTTCGAGCAGGATTCTCTCGGAAGCATCGTCTCAAATATACTACGGTTGCGATTGTGAGCGTCAATATCGACGTATATCACAGACCAAGATGCGCCTTTCTCGCCGAACAAGTTGCAGCCGTTAATCGCCTCCAGGGCGCTTTTCGCAATCCCAATGGAGCTGGCGTGAATCTCGGGCGTTCCGTCGTTGTATCGATTCCCGCGTTCCCACATACCGTAATCCGGCGTGCGGTATGCCCTCTCGACATAGTACACCAGGTTTTGCACAAACGCCACTTCGTCTTGTATATATATAATTTGTAGACCGGAGGAGATCATTTGCACCAAGAATATCAGGTAAAGAGATACGACGTCGATCTACAATGGACGCAACAAATATTAATTGCTACAATAACTGATGAAGACTATAAGGTAAGTCCTGTATTATAAGATAGGATTCTAATGCGAGATATCAAACATCAACGTCCTGTCTCGGCTCTTGTATCCTTTATTACTTACAAAATGTCTAACAATTATTACTGAATGCCTACCTGCAAATGATGATACGCAGTGTCCTTGTAAATCTCATCGCCCGTGTCCAAATGGAACTTGCAGTGCAACGCATAGCGGTCGCATTGGTTCTTCTTGAAGAGCTCTATTCTGGAGGACTGTTTTATCCAACACTCCAGGATGCCCCGCATGCACTTTATCGCGGACTGCCCCAGCTCGTACGACTTTCCACGATCGTCGTCTATGCGCCTGTACGCCTGGTACAGACTCCACACGGCTGCGGCGCAGTATATACTTTCGCGCACGCTGCCGACCTTCCGATCGCTCGAGACCTGCGGGAACAGGCCGGTTATGCAGCTCTGGTAGCGCAGCAATTGCCTCTTTACGATCCCATAATATATGTCCAGTTGTTTCACCGTGTCCTCGTAATTGGATATCTTGAGGAACATTTCGGCGTCTATGTCTATCACGCTACCTTGCCGTATATTTCTGATCTGCGCGATCCTGCAACAGGTGAGATCGATAAGCCTCATAGAAAGTATCTTATCTGCATTATCCCCCCCCCCCTCCCTCCCTAAGTTAACAAACCTCTTTGCGTTTGACGGCGTTGTCACTGAAGTCGTCATTTTATTCAAAATACAAGCGAGCTATTTCTGACTCGGTACACCTGCAGAAAAGCACCTAGTGTATATAGAGGCATTTCAAAATATGCTGACAAATACCGCGGGTCTACAGGTTGCATATGCTATGAATTTTCGGTATTGTCAGTGCATCTCAGAATATCGTTGAATTATATGCGATTCTATAACGACGTAATGTTTCACCGAGCTACTCAATTTCAAAAGCAAATGTACTTAAATTGATATTTTACATGCGAGATTTACTTGGATGGTCAACAAGCAACTTTTTGCCCTTGTGAAGTTCAGTTCGACATTGGTTCGATGTTATTGGGTCAGAGATCATCGGGGCTCTATATATGCATACCAGAATTCGTGCTGCTTGGCACTTGTTGCGCTTAAGGTGCGTTCCGTTTTTCACGCACGCTGCATTATGTGAGAGACCGCGACGTCGCCCGGAAGAACGGACCTGTAGTTCAGCCAATATCAATTGGCCGTTGGGACAAACTGGAGCATGTTGGCGCGTTTTCCTTCCACCATGCCTCTACGTCACTGTTGGCCGCGTTGGCGCCCTCTGGAGTCAGCGGCCATTAACCGCAATAATAATAATAATACTTGCATGCATGTTTTCGTGAACCACGTGGTGGCAGGACTTTTGATTTCGATCAACTGGATGTTAATTGCGGTGAATGATTAAGTAGCTATGCCAGATTCAGTCTATTACGACGAAGTGGAAATCGAAGATTTCGAGTACGACGAGGACGAGGAGGTTTATTGTTACCCCTGTCCGTGTGGTGACGAATTCCAAATATCTCTCGCCGACCTGGCCGCCGGCGAAGTCGAGGTTACGTGTCCCTCGTGCTCGCTTGTGATCAAAGTGATTTACAATCAAGAGCTCTTTCGTGCTAAACAAGAAGAGCTCGAGAAAAAGAGCGGCAAAAAGGAGCTGGCGGCTCAAAGAGTTTAAGGTAAACAGGTTAGGATTGTGTCAGGAAGAATAATGGAAGTTATAAGACACGAACGACCGTGGTCTCTTGGACCCGGTATTCGTAGACCGTTGGCTCAACTAACAATATTATAACCAGACCTAGGACTATGCCGGCCATAAACAAAGGGTTAGTTTTCTGTTCTTGCACTGGTGAACTAGTGCAGTAAGCTAGAATGAGAAAAAATAGGCTTGTCTTACTCCAATTTATTGCACTAGTTCACTAGTGTAGGAACAGAAAACAAGCCTAAAGATAAAGTAGATACAGTTCTCGAACTCTGTGCTCAGTTAGCGATCTTGGATACTGTTGTCGCTATCTTTATATCAGTTCGATGACACAATTATGTCGTGTAATAATTATATGTTAAATCTTTATGCCAGCGTGGCTAGTGTAATTTTATATACAACTTTTTATTATTTCTGAAGAATATTGTACTTTTGAACCAAAGCACGAGTTTGTAAAGCCATTTGGTCGTTGCATAGAGTGATCTGGATTTGTGCATTTTGTTGTACAACTCTTTTTAGAAATGTTACACAGTCCTATTCTAGTATCTTTGAATATGTTGTTAACACTTTTCTTTAATCAATATTACAGCAGATGACAAACCGATAGAAGAAGAAAGTATGGCGGGACGCGGTAGAGGAAAGCCTACCATGTCCTTTTCCATGGAACAATTGGGTATCGCTAAAGGAGAGACGCTGTCAACGCCAGTTCTGCAACCATCTCCACTTTATCCTCCAATGGAGCGCATGCCTGTATTTAAACCGCTGACTACTGAGATGAGTTATCTCGTAGAGGTGCAAAGGGATTTCAGGGAGTATATGCGAGAGGCACCGACCTTCGTGAAACCTGATGTATTAAATAAAGATATTGAACGATTTTGCGAAGATGTTGAAGAAACAGAATCCAACAAATTCAAGCGTAGGGTCGACTACGATTGGGATAAAATGCCGAGGGAGCTGTGGCCAAAGTGGAAATTGCGTCAGCAGAGTGTAGCCGAGAGCAAAACGAAAAAGGACATGGATGTTGTGAAGAAGCTGACAGAATTAGAGAAGAAAGAAAGCGTACAGCAACCTGCGGAAGAGGACGATAAAGAGGAAGGGAACGAAGAGGAGAACGATGAGGAAAAAGAGGCGGAAGCTGTAAAGGACGATGATGAAGCAGACGAGATGGATGATGGGACTGATTATGTGAATGAATACTTCGAAAATGGTGACGATTACTATAGCGAAGATGATAACGATGATGACATATCTTTTGAGATATAAAAGTTTGCATCATGTAATCAGAAAAATCTTGTATCTCAATCTCAGAGACGTTGATCTGTTTTCAGGACTCTCAATACTGATAAGCTATTAATTTTGCATAGCATTATTGGTTGAAGAAAACAGATTAATTAACAGTGCACGAATTAAACTAGACAAAGATTGTGTTTAGTAAATAAAGTACAAATTGAATAAGTGTAATACAGGTCGTCTTACTTCTTTTTCTCCTGTTTGTGTATTAGAACAGATTCCTCCAATGTTAAAATCGTTGTGGTTGCAAGTTTCGTATAATGATGCCTTTGGTCTTTCTTTGCTATCTTCTTATTATTAATCAGCAAGTATATTTTATATAGCCATAATAATCTGCAAGTGTCATAATAAATGAATGCAATCGGATAGTATAGATACAATGTCTTGGGATAAAATGCAATTTCTTGGGATGAATAACTAAGGAAATGGAAAAGGAGCATAAGAACAAAAGAATGGTATAGAGTGGCAATTGTACAAAAGTTTAAGATCAAAGAACGTCTTCAGATTCTTGGCCAGAATCTCCTTTGCGATAAACAACCTTGACAGATAGGGGACGAAATTGTGTGAAATCTCTCGTCTTTCGAATTTAATCGCCTGTAATAAATCATATATCTTGTATGTGCAACTATGTAAAAAATAACACATCGCTTTTGCATTTTTGGAATATAACCATATAATTTCCGGACATAGAATTAGTATCGTTTGCAAATTTAAAAACGGTATCTCGCAGTTTGATATTTTAAAAGGTACTTACAAATATCGAATCGATCAATATTAATGACAATGTTAACGAAGAAAATGCGACGAATGTAACATGTGCTTTCGCTCTCGGTCGATTTGAACGAATGGGTAATGTTCATTCCTCGCAGATTGAAACGTAATCTAACTGATGCCACGTGACGTTCTGAAAATCACAAAACAGGTCAGTTTCTATTCTCAGGTGGGCAGTGTAAGCTTGCGAGATACTTCGTCACACGTTTGAAAAAAGGAAACAAGCCGTAAATATACAATTTCACTCTCGTAGCTTCACCTCTGTCGAGTCGTTCGGATCTTTACTGTAAAATGAAAGGAAGGAACACAAGGGGAAACATTCGCCTTATTTGAATTGAAAAGACATTCCAAATTAAATATGGTTGTCGGATCTTAAGATCATGATAGCTCTACAAATCGGTCTACGAGAAAGAGAAAGTCTTTCTAAATAACATGGAGTTGAACGAGATGAAGTTAACTGGAACAAAATAAAATATATATAGAGTATAATAAAAACATTTATTTTCAATACTTTTGTGATAATAAATTTATTGATATTTAGTAGAAGGAATTTGTAGTGATAAAAGGACTTTCTGTCTCTGAATTGATTAAAACTTCTTATTTAACAGATCAGCGTGAGCTAACGACACAACATTTAACCCAAATGCCAAGCTGAATGCCAAGTGGGTGTTCGCGGCAAAGGGCGCAAAAGAGTATTGGGATCGGCAAACGAATTTGCGGTCGCAGCCAGCCCTTTCATCATCACTCGAATGATACCGTGAAGCATCCGTGTCTATAACAATTGGTGACAATGATAACTCTTTTCGGGAAGTTGAAAAACTAAACAAAAAAAAACCGACATCTGAAGAACGTCGTGGCAGTATCTGAAATTTGTCCCAATTGTTTTCTATCTTTCTTTGGAAATACCTCGGACGTCCTTTAGATGTCTCTTGTACAATTTCGAAAGGGAAAAATCGTCGACATTTCGTTCATACATCTACGCATCGTAGTGGGAGAATCTCGGGAATTATCTCGAGTTTCACGAATCGCGCGACTTATTCTAAGTGTATCGTGCTCTTTTTATTTTTATTTTTTTCTTCAATTCAGTATTTCGCTAACAATTTATTCAACGTTGAATAAGAATACTTAATTTTGCATTATAATCGCGACATCGAAAGCCGAAAGGCAAAGGTACAAAAAAGATCACACTCTCGCACAATAAAATGTTTGAGTAATCCATCGCATTCCTACATGTTAAGTAAAAAATTATTCTCTGAATGAAAAATTAGGCCAACCTTTCATGCAATGGACTTTCAGCGGGAAGCGTTACTGTACGATCCGTGCAGATGTAATGTGTCCCTGTGGTTTTCAGATTTTTCTATACTTTCCAAATAACTTTGTTGAGAAAAATTAATATTTTCCATTCGGGGATGCTCGTACATATGGGAGAAAAATTTTAATCGCAAAAGAGGGAGGGACTTCGACGATGCGTCTCTCTTTCTCCACAAAATACATAATACAAATATAATTGTTGTTGTAACTAAATGATAAAATGTACTGAAGCAATTTAAATCAAATTGAAACCAATTAAATTATTTTATATTGTATCGTAATATAAAATCTGGGACTCACTAATCGATTTGAAGCTTCCACAACGGCTAAATCTTTAGATGCACTGGATGAAACTTGTCTATCTCTTCCCTACGATCAAATCAGCGATAATCCTTATATTCAAAATCGTTATGTCGAAATCACATTCAGGATCGTGCGACGAACGGCGTCAAGGCAATATAATCTCATTTTCTTTCGTAATGAATCCTATCAGCCCGAATCCCTCATATCTTATCCGTCAGATTCTTCGTCAAATTGTTCACTCCGGTTTTATTCCTTTCACGTACTTAGCGTCTTGTGTATTATTATTTAGTATCATTATCATTATCGTTATTATCGTTACATATATGTTGCTTCACTACGGTTGATTGGCTTTTGGACGTGGATCTGGATGGAGTGTGGTGTATACCATATGCGCGCGCGTAAAAGAGACAGAGAAAAGCTCCAAAATTATCTTCTTTCTGTCTCGCGGCGATCTTCAACGGGGACAAGCGAGGATTCCCTGAACATTTATCGGTTCTATCGCGGGTGATAAAAGTGGAGTAAACTGTCGGCAATCAAAACGCCAAAATTCTACGCTTAAATTCAATTAATAATTAGGATCGCAAATAATTTAAATCGCGAATAAACGCAAAGTAAATATATCGTGACACCTCTTCCTTTTCTTAATTTCAATTTACTTATATCTAAAGAAGTCCAAGATATTTATTTGCATTCTTTATCAGATATTGCTGTTTTTAACAATAAGTATGTGCTCGATATTTATCGCGAGTTCGCGCGAAGAATCAAAGAATTCTCGCTCGCCGTCGATTTCCGAATCTAGATTTTCTCGCCGTCGTTATTCGTTTCTTCAAAAAGGAACGTATGAAAGAATATATATTTGCGTAAGAAATCAGACGGAATACATAGCATGCGAATAGGTAGCGTCCATCGTCTTTTTTTGTAGTTTCTTATGTTTATTTTCTCTCAATGCGGGATTTCGATTTATTATCGATTTAGAAATTTGCGCATCCTCGATATATTTGATGTTTCGATCAATCGAGTATACTACCAAATCACGTCACATTATTATTATTATCTCCCTTTTCTTCTTTTTTCATCATCATCATCGTCATTATCACATACACATAGCGACACCTTGTTATTTAATCGTGATGATGTTCAATGCGCTATGCAATTCTGTGTGAAAAAACACTATGCTTCACTACAGTAATTCATTTCCTTTCGTAAGTGAAGACTAAATTGGGCCGTGAATTTTTTGAAGCTACGGTTATGACTCGCATCTCCCGACCATTTGCGCCGTGATACACGGTAATTAATCAAGCATAAATTAATCGTTTTCGATTTTCACAAGACTTTACTACAACACTATTTGGCAAATTTAATTATATGACTTCTTTACATCACTTGGATTCACTAAAGCATGACACCGTATTGTTTTAATTTTAACTTTCTGGAAATACATATAAGTTTTTATAGGGCAAAGTAACAAAAGCTATAATCACAGTGCACTATTTTATCATGAAAAGATATCAATTGTTTAAACAATTAATCGAGCCGCTATGCTTTAAATAGAATTTAATTATGTTAGAAATAATTTACACGCAGCGTAGAAAATGTTTTGAAAGCATATTTTTTAAGTGATCAAGAGGGATCATTTAATTTACCTTTCAACGAGAAAATTATTGCAACACTAACAAATTTCTTCCATGAAATCACATGCGAAACGATCGAGATGCGATTTGGAGCAAGCTCTTTCGTGACAATACGTTAAGAGATCTTTTCTCCATTCGAAAGAAGCTAGTTCATGGTTCTGCCAAGGATTCCACAGAGATCTCTTCAATCTATCTAGTTTTCGATAAAGTTTTTCTGCGTAAAAATAAACAAAGGGAACAGTTACCTTTCAAAAATTTCAAAACCAATGTACCTAGTAAAATAGATTAAACAAATAAATACAAATATCGCGATAACAAAATAAATATTTTACATATATTAAATTTAAATAAATACGCCAAACCTGTAACCAGCTTATCATAGTTATTTTACCGTAAAATATTTAATACATAATTATTCCATAAAATATTTAATATAGAGGAAAGCCCCCTATTATGAGATAGGCTCCTAATGAGACAGCGGATTTTCAACAGCCAATTTTCGCAAGTCTTTTATCGCAACGATTACACGTACGATCTAACAACGAATTTTCCACTGAACAGATTTCACTCCAAAGGCAATAAATGCGTGGTGAAAGCAACAGATGACGCTTATTAATTTAGCAGAAACCCCGCTATCTCAATGTTAGGAGCCTATCTCATAATAGGGGACTCTCCTCTAAAAATTCTCACAGACCATTTAATTATATATCTACATATATATTCACAGAATAATATTTAATAATTCGATTTGGGAAATCCTCAGAGATGCCGAACTTTGTTTACAACCCGCGAGTGCGATAATATCCCATAATTGTATACATACATGTATACATATCAATAATTGTATATTCTGTATATAGACTTATATAAAACGCACGAAGCGGTTATTCGAAAGCTACTCGTTCCCGATTTTGTTTATTTATAGCGACAAGCCATTTCTGTACTTGTCGGCTCGATACTTGGCTCCGAGTTTTATCAATGGAAAAAGAATTCGGACTTAACTACGTGGATCCCGCGTGTTACGGGATCATTTTAATATCCTATAACGTTAATGTTTTCCATGTAAATGTATATTCGTTTAGATACCGTCTCTATGTCAATGAGTGAGCGTGCGTTCATGTGTTTGTGTATGCGTGTCCCCGTGTGTACAATGAATAAAAAAGAATTTTATTCACACAACTCAATTTTGTTGGTATAACTTTGCACGAAGAAAAACCGTATTACTGCACCGCGATTTATTTCACATTTCATTACAAGTGAAAACAATTTCACTGGTAAAAACCCTTTGCAACATAAAATATTTTTCTGTCTTGTATAAAATTATTCCAAGATGGGACGCACAGATACTTTTCTTATTCATTGCAACTCATACAATTGTGGTTTCATTTTATAATCTACGAGACCTTGCGATAAGATCACTAGTCAGTCAAAGGATGAAAAAAAAATGCGAATGTACTTTTCCTATTTGTGTGTGTGCGAGTGTACATGTCTGCGTATTACAGGTGTAATTGTCTATTTGTATATGCAAGCAGATGTAAGTGTTATATGATTACGTTCTTCGAGTCATTCTTCGAAGTTTGAAACGAGACCGACGCGCAACCTGCACGCACCGTCGTCATATAAGTTTCTCACGTCAATCTTTCACCCTGACGTACCCTTGTCTAGAATTACTTTTCTCTTTTTTTTTTTACTAATGATGCGACGATCGCGAATTCACGACGCTGTCCTACAGTCTGTCTTTTGAGGAGAAAGAAGCTTTGTTATTTAATGATCGATAATTTAACTCAGGCTTAATCATTATTATAGACCGTAAGTAAATAAATTATAGACCGCAATTTTAACGTTTATTTCAATATGGATTAGTTATTTGTTTTTCTTTCTGTTTTACAATAAACTTCTCTCTTCTGTTAACTAATAATTGTATCTTTCAGATATTCCGATTTCTAATCAGGATACACGATTGTTCCAACTCTTGCAAGTCTTGAATGTTTTCAAAATCGGCATATTCTGAGGTAAAGAAAGATTTTATTCCCGAAATTGTCGAATTATCAAAATGGCGTTCGAGAGGACACCATATTTCGCTTCTTTTTCCCCCTTTCGCTCTCACGTACAACATATATTCTTTTGAGCAGCTACAAGCTACGAAAGCACGTGGACAGACCAATCGACTAAAGATGTGCGAATCATGGATTTTTTTATATCGAATCGAATTAAATCGAGTCGAATCGTTGAAAAATAGTTTTCAATTAACAATATAGTAATTATTAGATCAAATTTTAACACGCAATGATAAAAGAATATTTTAATATAAAAAATAACATTGATTATTATATAATGGACTCTGCACACTGCTTATTTTAGGCACTACAAGCGTCTGAAAGTCAAAATAAGGTGTTATCCCAGTAGTATTAAGGACAGGTGTATTACAATAATATGTTTGTTAAAAACTTATCCCTCAAAATTGTTCCAGCGTTCTGATATTTCTCGAACACCTGTATATGTATATATTTTTTCTACTTAAATCCTGTATTAATAAAAATTTGTATTTCTACTCATATTCAATATACAACTAATAAAATATACTTCATTTATTGTCGCAGTAACTGAAACAGACGGAAAACCATAGATAAATTATTAAAATACTCTAATGTGGTATCCAACACACATCTTCCAATTATACATATACGTATAATTAAAATAAAATAATGTAGTTTATTTCATTATCAATACTGTCTCGTTCGGATTTTTACCTTCAAAGCTGAAAATGAATCATATTCTATTGCTGCTCAGCCGTTCAGTGAACAATTGTAGTACTAAATGCACTGAATGTATTAACACGACCGTCCTGCTTATTGACGAAAAATATGATTCTATAAGACCGACAATATATGTGAGTTGTATTCAGATCATCTAGATTCGACATTTTCGAATAGTTCAGATTTAAACCATAGAAATTTAAATTCGAATAAAATCGAACCTCACTTGATTCGATTCGACTCGCATTCGAACATTTCGCACATCTCTAGAATCGATGATAGGACAAAGCAGAGTGGGACAATAATCTCCTCTCGGGAAGGGCCGACCTACCCAATCGAGACAAGAGACTGTTCGTAATTCTCTGTCAACGCGTACTGTTCCTCTTTCCTTCGAAGGTTTAATTCTCCGCGCCGTTGTTACCCTTTCCCCAGAACTTGTCGAAGCGGTTTCGCGCTTTCTCCAAGACGTCGCTCGCCGCCGAACGTTGCGCCGAGCCCGGTACCACCGCCGGTGCCTCCAGAACGTGGTAGCCACTCATGGTGCCGCCTCCAGTACCAGTGCTACCTCCTACACCTCCCGTACCTCCCGTGGTACCGCTGCCACTGCCGCCGTCACCTTGTGATTCAGCTTCGAGAACGCGGTAACTCTGCTGTTGCGCAGGCGACGTCGATGACGTTGTCGTCACCGGTGCCGTCGTGATCGCCACCGGTATGCCATCCTCCCTTTTTCTTTCTATCTCGAACGTCGGATCTTCCAGACATCTCAAATTCGTGCCCGCCACCGACTTTGTCGACAATTCCGAGCTCTGTCGCTCTTTCGTCTCCTCGACGACGTCAGTGACCTCCTAGAATTGCACGCAACAATTACTGTAAATTGTGCGAATGAAGGAAGTTTCCTCTTGCCAGTTGTGTCGGATTATTCAACCGAAAAGTTATCTGTCTTGCGTGTACGAGGAGTTGAGGGAGAAGAAGGAGCGAATACATCGAAAGTTTCCCACCTTTTCATCCTTCGTGGGTATGTCCGGCGCGTTCGTGGGCAACGGGCTATCCCTCTCCGAGTCCAGGTCCTTATGTCCGTTTATGCCACTAAAACTACCGAGCGAGACGCTCTCACTTTCAGGAGACTTGTAGCCGGAGTGCTGGGAATGCTGCGACTTGTGCTGAGCCGCGAGCTCCGGCGGTGCTGATTGCGGCGCTGATGGTAGCGAGGATGGCGCCCACGTCTTTGCCTCACTATGTGGACGTGTGAGAGGCTCTTTGAAAGAGACAATTGGAATTTTGGTCACGATAATGTCACCTGTCGCGTTAATGAGTTTTATGGTAAATTATAGCAACGCCACCACTTGACAGTGCGTGTCAAACATTTTGGCTCGGTTCTCTCGGAAAGGATTGATTTAACGAGAAAACTGTTTCAGACAAAAGTTGCAAGGCTTAAAAATATCTAACATCAGTTTCTTCAAATTGTCAGTATAATAATAAAACTCCAAACTTCATTCGACCACACCTGGCCACATTTGTTAATTAATTGGTCGATGCAGAAAATTTATTGCGAAAAATATCACCCCAGCCAGGGCTTGAATCTGGACATCCCTTACTCTCTAGGCGGGCGTCTCACCAATTCGACCACTGAGGCATGTTAGAAAGCTAGTCCTCAAGAAAGCTACAATTTTCTAATCGAGAGTCTTGCCGTTTTACCTTCCCGGACATTTTGCGTAACGGTGAAAGTCTTGCCGGTGTCGAGGGGTACGGTCCAGTTTACGGGTTCCGGCGAGCGCATGATCATTTGCTCCGGCGATTTTACCCTCGTCGGCTCCGGCGGGCTCTTCACCACCGGTTCGTCGTCCAACCAGGGGCTTCCTTGGGTGACAGGCGCTGGCACCACCGCCTTTATCGTCTGCGAGGGTGGCGTCGAAGCGACGCTCGAATCCCCGCCGGTGACATCCCCGTTTACTTGGGGTTCCGCCGTCACTAGAACGTTTGGAACGAACCGCTTTAACGTCGGCGTAGATGATCGTTCTACCTTCCCAACCCCCCTCCCCCCGTATTCCCCGAAGCTTGCACTCGATGATGAGTCGAACTGTCGCGATTGATTCGTATACCCGATACACTTCGCCCCTCTCTTGATTATCTATTTATTTACTAATTTAGCAAATGATATGCGGCATTCGACAACGTTCGAGATTGCAATTAACGCGGCAGTGAGAGATTCGCAGCTTAATTCAAAAATGTCCATAACTCAGAAATGCGAATTGTTTGTATCCTCATTATCGTCGCAGCGGCAAAGTTGCTCAACGTACTTAAGATGTTCATTTCTCTGTGTGAGTTGCGAAATTTGTTGTTGAGTGCTGCATACGGAATTCGACTGAATATCATTAACGTGAGCTCGGTACATCCGCCCAGTGAGAAATGATTTGTCGATCGACGTCGAAATGACGTCGAATCGACGTCAATTCGACGGTGTCGATGTTGATTCGACGTCGTTTCGACGTCGATCGACGAATCATTTCTCACTGGGCGAAGCATTGGTAAGTATCGCCCAATTAATCGTAGACGAGAAAATTAATCTTTTTGCTGCGGCATCTTGCGAATTATTAAAACGCGTTAACAAATATAAACTCGTCGAACATTTTATTCATTTACTTATAGTCATAATAGAAATATATGATTATTAATTATTCTATATGCTCTAAGCATATAGCAAGTTAGATGAGTATATCCTTACTATTATAAATAACGATAGATAAGTATGTATAATTAATGAAGCAGCAAAAGGATTAATATAAACGCTTAAACTATCCTTTACCGAGGCAGAGTATCTACAGTCTTTAACACATGAAAGTGAATATTGATCAATGTTAAAAGTGCTGATTATTCTACGCTGCTGCGACGAGGTATCTTTGTCTCCTTACCCATACAGTACAAACCTCCAAGGACCGTCTTAGGGACGTCCTAAGGACATCCTTAGGACGTAGAATGTCCTAACGACGTCCTAAAGATGTTCTGAGGACGTCCCTTGGAAGTTTGTGCTGTATGGGTATTAGTACGCAGGAAATGTCAGATTTCTTCAGATAATTTTATATATTGTTATCCATACTCCTAGCGAAATTAAAAGATGTAATGCCGGCATCGAGTGCAGGCGAGATTCTCTCGAGCGTGAGTAAAGAATACAAGGTTGCTAACAATGTATATCCCATAAGGTACACTGACGTATCCAAAATGCAATATAAAGATACGCAACAATACATTTAGCTACACAGACATGAGGGGAAAGATGGGGAAGAAAGGGGAGAGGGGAAAGAAGAAAGAAAGAGAGAGAAAGGTGAAGGAGAGAAAGCGAGAGACCGTGTACTTACAACACGTGGACTGCAGCCTGTCAATTTTACATAGGATAATAAAGGATCTCCATGATGGAGATAGAGAGAGAGAGAGAGAGAATAAGTGCTCCCCCTCCGTGTCGTAAAATGGGAGAAAAGAGAGGAAACTGATGAGATATTCAGATAACCTATGGAGAGGCGTAAGGACCTATGAAAGACCACTCCTTTTGCATCTCTCACAGTCCTGGTGGAGACATTTTCTAACAGAGGCGCACAGTCCATGTATTATAGGTCCATGGGAGATGCTGGGGAACGAAGGGAGGAGAGGAGGGTAGAGAAAGAAACACAAAATATGAATATATATATGCATACATACGTGCACACATATATGCAGGGTTGGGAAAGTTACTTTATATATAAAAGTATCTGGTTACAGTTTTTTCGCTAAAAATGTAACTAATAGTTGCAAGTTACCAATTCTGAAAAGTAACGCGTTACAGTTACTTAATAAGTGACGAATCGTTACTTTGCGGTTACTTTCTTGAAATGAAAATAAAAATATCAAATCTGCGTTTGAATTGTATAGCGCCGATAAAGGCGTTTATGCGACAATGCAGGACCTAATGCGATCTGCGGAGGTTTAAAAAATATATAAAGTAACCATTAATGTAACTATTAAATTAGTTACTAGTTATCGAAAAAATGTAACTGAGTTAAGTTACAGTTACAGACGGAGAGAGAGTAACGAAGTTAAGTTAGAGTTATCAAAAAATAGCAGCTGTACCTGTAACTTCGTTACAAGTAACGAGTTATTTCCCAACCCTGCATACAAATGTATATGTATGTACATACACATACACATATGTGCTGTAGTGTGCAGGCGTGCACATTGCGCAACAAGTTGGACAAAGAGCTTCATGTACATACGGTATCGTTTTCTCGGTAATCGCGGAAGTCACTTGATCTCCCATACTTGGATCGTTCTTCATGCTTTGTACATCAATAAGTCTTTGCAATAAAGGGAAGGAAAGGAATAAAGGATCGCTCATTTTGGACGCTAAACGGAGTTTTGCCTTCGAAAAGCATAAATATCTATGTTTAATTTAAAAACGAGAGGAGGAGGGGAGGGGGGAGAGAGATTTTTTTATGACAAAACACCTATTTTTAATGCTTCGAAGACAAGAAGATAGTCCTCATCTTGAAAGCTTTCACGCACTACGTAAAACTCTTGGATTACTTAATCGCACGGATGACAACGATTGTAAGTCATTATTATTTTATGTATGTATATAATATATTATGTGCCAACAGTCAGAGTAAAAAGTAAATGATGGAACAAATACGTTCAGAAAATAATCGAGTCGACCTGCAAAAGTATTATTCCACAAAAAATATCTAATCCTTCTACTAAAACTGCAGAAATTTTATCCCTCTCTACGTCGACACAGAAAAAGATTTGTAAATAGTACAGTTCGTTTTATGTGGAATGAGCAATATACATGTATATGTCACCTAGTACGTATGAAACATTTTCGTTATAAATACCCGAAGAAGTGTGACATAAAATTTAATCGTTAGTTCATAGTCGAGAAATATCGCAATACAGAAGTTTCTCTACGAAAACACTTTGTCAGTATTCGAGATGAAAGGCAATGAGGAGTAATTTTTAAGAATTTCACGAGTCACTTCTAAGAGTACCCTAGTTAATCGTAGATAAAATTCCTATTCCTGCAGGTTGACAAAACATACTTGCAAAGCAAAAAATAATCATGTTCGATTATATCTGATTCATATAATAAATATTTCTAGCACTACTGTGCATCACTCCATAATTGTGGATTTGGTTTATCATGCTTTGTCCTGCGCTGACTCTTTGATAATCGATTCCAAGAGGATTTTCATAAAGAATAAGAAGAATGTATATAAGATACAAAGAATATTATACAAATGTAGCATATGTATACTACATTTATATTATAGTCTTATATATATAGGAATAAAGTATTGTGAAATACAATAAATAAAAAATATGTGTGATAGAACGTCGAGTACTTAGATCAATTATAACACTACATAACTCATAAAACCCAGTCTGAAAGAAAAATACAATTTATCATTGATCTATATATTAATCTTTAAATTGCGATTATAACACACACAATATATTTTTATAAATGTAACTATTTAATTGTACGAGAAGAGAATAACTTTATACTTTTTTTCTATAATTCGCTAGAAAACAAATTGAAGAAATACTCTGAAAAATTAGATTTCGTAATAAATTCATGAAATTGGCTGAAACAGCCATTTCTGAGCCATTTAATCACAAATTACTCAAAAACCTGATGTGCTGACGAAATTTTGCGCCCAGATTTGCTTTTAATAAATCTATCGAATTCACCCACTCTGCTTTTTGCACCTGACCCTCGCAGGCCTGTATAATCACATAATCATAGGATTTAAATGCTAATTAAATCCATTAAATCGACACTCTATCGTGCAACACGACAAGAAACGGAGGCAGTGGGGCACAGAGAAATGGAGAGAAAAAAAGAGAAAAAATACAGATCAGTGAATAAAAGAGTAACATATGTATATACAGTGTATCCCATTTTAATCAACGCACTTGAGCATCTCGAGAACTAAATAAGATATGAAAATCTAATATTTTTAAGATTGTATGCTTTCGGAGAGATTTGAAAAGAAAAATTGATTGTCGATATTAAAGCGACATAAAAATCAACTTTCGTAGGTTTGTGACTTTCGCAGTCTACATGAATATTAGGTTTGGCTTCCGGATTGGAGCCGTGTAAGTTTGCCATTTATTTCGATGTTTCGGGAACATTTCAGTTTATTTCATCAGGAAGGAACAACCGGTACTAGTCAGACAGGTTGTTTCTGATAAAGTGAACTGAAATGTTTACGAAACGTTGAAATAAAATAGCAAACTTATTCAGCTCGGAAACCTAGAAAAGATCAATTTTATTTTAATAAAATCCGAATTTTTTAAACATCTATGTTTGTATCTCTTCTCGCAGCAAATTCAATAACTACTCATTGGAGATCAAATGATGGAAACAAATCTTAAAATATTATCGTTATCAGCAATGTTAGATAAAGAACGTGACGACAAACAAAAAATCTACTCGGTTTCTGCCACCAGTCTGTCATAATTTCTGCAGACAGATCTGCTGGTCATTCGGCGCAAATATTAGGATTGTTATTTAAAACTAGACCTCGACATCTCATTTAGTTGGCGAAATATTCGAGAACGGTGATTAAAATAAAATGAAACACTTTGTATAAAGACGAAAAGTAAAAGATATCTCATATCAACCACAAAGTTACATTGCCAATATATAAATACACAGAACACCAATATATAAATACACGAGCACACGAAGCAAAGACACTGGCTCATGACTGGACAAAGTTGAAAAAAAAAAGGAGCGACAGACTATAAACTTAGACTCTCTTTTTAGCCACGGCACAACATGCTACTTACTAGCTTGGACGGCGGTAGTAGCGGCTCGATTTGACGCGGATCGCGTATCGAAGGATGATTTGGATGATGGATCATCGCCGGCGGCTGCAGCCGCAGCTGCTGGATGCCCGCGGGCCAATTTTGCCTGAGCCTCGTCATTCGCACCATGGCACCTTTGGCTTAAATCTTTAACGCCGCGCTCCGGCCTGGCCGCAGCGGCAGCGCCCGACGTAGGTGGGTGATGGACGGTCATATGAACCGAATACTTTACCGGGGAACGTTTTACCGCGGCGGTACTTGCGCTAGTACTGTTAGCGGTAGTGACAGTGATGTTAGTGGTGTTGGTAGTGGTTGTGGGTTTGGCGTGATGAAGAGGGCGATGGGGAGGGGCGGTGGTCGCGAGGAAGGCTAGAACATATTGTACAAGAAACAGTACAATTGATAAATAGAGTTTTCTGGGCCCGTATCTTGTGCGCGCGCGCATCTGTTTAATCGCAATGACTATTCTCACCGGAAGTCGAGATCGATCACTGATCGGGAAAGTGATCCTTGGTGCCCCTTCGCTCTCGCGAAACTCGGCGCGGGAGGAAAGCTCCCAAGGAAACGTAAACGATTCGTCTTTTTGCAAAATCATCTTTTTATCATCTTAAGAACATCCCAAAAAGTTGGTTTTCAACGATATCTTGATATCGATCTTCTCAATAATTATTTCATTATGTTGTCAAATATTAGCTTGTTGCTATACAAATTATACCTTATCGCCACCCACACAAAAGACAAACAAAGCTAAAGTCACTTTTCATGGAACTGACAACAAGGGTTTAATTCACATAATTCAGTTAAAATAAGAAGTGTTGTAAAATTTATAAGAAAATTTTGTAAAATAGGATGAGATTCTTACTGGTATTAATGTAATCTTTTATTGAAATAAAATCCCTAGATTTAAGAGGTGAAAAAAATTAAAAATGTTAAAAATTATATCAAAATTGAAATATAAATTTTACAAACAATGTTGATATTTTCAGTAAATTTCTAAGATATTTTTATCGGTCAGTTTTTGGTAGAAAATTTGTAACAAGATTAAAAATTGTAATAGATAATTCTAATAGATTCTGATAGAAAACTTGATATTGTATACAATTTTTAACAGAAATAACTTAAAAATTGAAAATATAAACATTTATAAAAGCATTATCAAAAATTAATATTATTAATTTAATATTTAAACTCTTGATCTTGTATCTGAGTTGCTTTTTTTCTATTGACTTCTTTAGTTTGCTTTCATTTTTAACTTGTTAACGTCTAAACTCTGTTTAAAAGAATATAAGTTTATATTCGATACTTCTATATGAATAAATAATCATATTTTTATAATTATATTTAAATGATTTTTTAAAATTTTATATATTTTTATTTAAAAAATATTAAAATCATTTGGACACTACCATCCTCTTATATCCTATATTTCTTCGAGTTTGATTTCACGTCAGAGCCTTATAAATTTTATTGTTTTATATATTTATATTATTTTCAAATAATAATATTTCGATGGATAATATCCTATTTCTTTATATGTAAAAGCGTTACTTCCCTCTCAGCCCTGCCTATCCCCCGCCTTACAATCCTTTCAACACGTTTGCCATAATATAAATTTCGATATATCAATATTCCAATAATAAAGTTACAAAAATAACTGAAAATTATTAATAGTCAATATTGCAAAATGGAAAAATATGTTTATATTTAAAAAATTAATATAAAAAAGGAAAACTATAGTAGTATATGAATTTAAAATGTTGTTTTATAAATAACAAATAAAATTTTTAATAATACGCTGAACTGATTCGCAGAAAATGATGTATGTATTTGCCTGAGGATCAAAGTAACTCAAGGAATAAACTAATTAGATACTGTTTGTAGCAAAGGTTCTCGAGCGTTATTGACGCCACCAAATCCAAGAGTAAGTGATGGAGGGAAGACACTGGAAGCGCCAATATCGCAAATCAAACGGAGAAACATTTGTTTGTTCATGCGTGTGGGTCAATTTGACCTACATGCACGCATGTACGGGTTAAGCAGAAATCTATAAGAAAATACGAAGTAAATTCATAACAGTCCACGTTCGCCATATATAGTACATATTCAGCACGTACACAAGATCTTTTGGCTAAATTAATCAGCTAAATCAAATCAGCAATCAACTAAATAATTGTATTATTAGCGCAAACGATGTGTACACGATATGCTGAAAAAAAAGAAAAGGAAAAGAAAATGAAATTAAGAAAACAATCGTAGAATAAATTTGCTTTGCGAGCCAAGTTTCTAATTTCTTGCAAGAACCATGTTTTTCTCTAGAATCATTCTGGGTGAAGTCTGCAAAAAGTTTCATGACGAGCCTAAAACGCATCGGAGATCATTAAGGTCGAGTCAGAAGGTAAGTCAGGATAAATTATAAAGGAGAAGAGAGAATGAGGGTGCGCAGTTTTTTCGATATGCAGTAATTCTGAAAATATGTTAGACCGACATGACGCGTGAGAGACAGCGGGCACAGCAGGTGTACGTGAACAGGTACAGTAAACGTACATTTGCGATGTGGGACTTGCGGGGGCCTCTTGTGGAGCGGAGCAGGCCCCGAGGGTGGCGGTGGTAATGGCGGTATAGGCGGCGTCGACAGGCCAGTCGCCGGGGGAACCGTAGTCGCGGGTTCCCGTATGCTCCAACGGACACGTTGGCCTGGGCCTGCCGCGGCTGAAACACCCGCTGCCACCCCTGATCAATCTAATTCACGACACGTCTCCTCGCGCGATCACATATTCTCGTGTGAGAACTTGTGAGAACAAAAGCTAGAGTTCGCGAAGAGAACAGGTAATTCGGAACGAGTACCAATATCGAACAAGGCGAAAAACGATGATGACAACGATAACGATGATGCCATGATGATGATAATGTTGATACTGATTACGACGATGATAATGATGATAGTAGTTGTAGTGATGATAAAGATGATGAAGATGACAACGATGGTGATGATGGTGACGATGATGATGATTTTGATGATAATAATGGGACAGTGAAACCCGATGATAATGGAAATTGCTATTAACGTTTGAAATCTGGAACAGGGAGACAAAAAAGAAAAGGGGGAAAGGGGATTTTCAAGAGAAAGAGAAAAGAGGGGGAAGAGAGATCATTTTGTTGAGAGGATAGCAAATGTGATTTATACGGTAATGTCGCCACTATTACTCATCGATAATAATGAAAAATGATTGGACCAATTGGCTTCGTGATTCCATTATTGAAATACCCTGAAAGCTACAATAATTTCTTAAGCATACATTTGTCCGCATATCTTTGTTGTTAATTTCAGCTAATAGATTATGGCAGGATGATAATGGATTTGTGGTTGATTAATGACACAATGATGTCTCGAATAATTAACTTTGCAGATTACATTGTACAATGAACCATCGGTGATAGATAGACGAGAGCTGCTTTTAAAAAGTTTGCAGCATGCAATACAACATGTACCATTTAAGCTTCGTGTTAGGTTTCTTCTTAAAATTATTTTTGTTATATTCTTTTAAATCTTAAAATGTATTCCAAGTCTGCTTTAAATCTTGCTATTTTGCATATTTAACGTTGTAACAAGAATTAAGCATAATTACATTGGAATGAAAATAATAAATAAAAATGATTAATGTTACATACTGACAACAGTACCTAATCGAGAATATGATTAACATATATATCATATGTATTTTCGCATAAATAATAGGCGATAATATATTTAAAAAAATTGATTAAGTAAAATGATAAAAAATACGCGTTACACACATTTGTATTGTTAAAATACTTAGCAAATAAGTGATATTAGATTTTTTTTCGACACGTATGATGTGATGGATGTGATGGATGATATGGAGTCAATGTGGAAAATTGTATTGTGATTCATCGCAGGTTGAAAATAGGATTTTTCTCGCCTATTCGCAAAGGACTACGAAGGCGAATAATACATCGCACAAATAACTTTCATACAGTATCTATCGATATAACTACCGATTACTAGATGAGGGTTTTAAAGGCAGAGGCAAAGAAATAAAGACAAATAGACAGAACTATCATGCATCTGCCTAAACATTAATGACGACGCAATTATAATAATAATTGACGCTCACCGCATTGTAAACGCTTTTATGCGAATATATTTTCAAAATATTCTTAGCGTAAAGATAAAATAATCAAATGCCTCAGCAACTAATACTTAAATCATTTTAAATCATTTAAGCTTTTAAATTCAAACTGAAAACTTGTCTTACCTACTTTCTAATGCATTTACCATTTAATTTACCAGCGCTTTAATTCTACATGTAAAATAATTCGCCTTACATAACTGTTACAGAGAGAAAATTGGATATGCAAAATTCAGCATATATTTTGGCGTATTATTTCTAGGCAAAAGAAAATGTTTTTGATTATTGTATATTTTAGCAAATGGCATAACAAAAAAAAACGAACCAAATGATAATAGTCGTAAAAATAAATTTCGCGAGCGATGAGCATCGTCTGACGTACAAGTATAATTGTACAAATATAATAATTATGTAGGATGAACGTTTTTGACTTTCGAGGCCGACAAGAGCAGACAGCAGTCCAAAAGGTCATATATAATATAGATATATATATATGTACGTAATCTATCCAAATCCAGTTTATGCACAAAAATGCAAAGGGGATTCGACTGACAGATTACGAATTCTAATCGATTCAAGAAACAATCCCCTTAGGGTATTAAACCAGCTGAGAATACTTCCGATACGACTAACGCAAAATATAATTTTCGGGTTTACATTACACTACTTACTCGGTCGTGGATGTCTTTCGGGCTCGCCGCTCTTTTCCCTGTGCTCCTTATCCTTTGTCTCTTTTTCTTTTTCCTTGGCAAAAGAAAGCAAATCTCTTCTTACCGATGTGCTAGTACTAAAAGTCTTTGTCCGTATAATTTCATGCACATTAACATCAAATTAAGATATTGTGTTTCTTTCTTCTAAAATATTATTGCATTATATTCTCTTCTTTTTAAAAATTTATTTCCAATAAATATAAATGTATTGCACAATTATGCATACAAAAATGAGAAGAGAATATAAGTTTTTGTCGCCAATAAATAACCAACAAGTTAAAAAATTATTAGACGACCCAACTGCCAGATAGTTCATCAAATTCAATGTTTCGTCCATTCCGATTATGATCCTTTTCAAGTAATATATCATAAATCAGGTTTTGTACTATTTCAAGTTTGTGAACTAGATAAATTTAGGAGAAATTTTATATAGTCCAACATTCACGTAACGGTAACGGTATTAAGCATTACATCTCAACCTTGTACATTTGTTATAAATCGGTGACATAAGTACCTTAGCGTCCTTGGTAACAGATGGTGCTGAACGGGGAATCTGACGTTTAGGCGATCTGCGATCGGTGACGGTCGGTCCGAGGCTCTGCGAGCGTCCGGTTCTCGGACTGTTCTTCGGACTGGACTTAATGCGCGGCTGAATTTCGTCCCGATGCTCCTTGACGTCGTCACGGCGCCGTGGTATCACGGGCTCCAGCTTTTCTCTCGTCGGAGAGGGAAGCAGTGCACCGTCACCTTGATAGTACGAAATTTTTATTCAAGATAATTTGCAAACTAACGAGAAGAAAAGCAAAATATGACATTTATGTGCATGTGATTTGTAGAAATCAGTCAATTAGGTGTATATTAATTACTTGCATAAAATAGTTAATTTAATATTATTCTTAAAATCATGTGTAACTTATGTGTTTGTTGGCATTGATGAAATTGTGGATATGTACATGAATATAAATTATCTTTGACGAGCAATCAAGAGATATAATTAATGTTGTTCTTATATTAATTGAGTTGATTTATTTATTAACCACGTACCCACACCAGTAGTACGATCGAGATGATGGCGGATCAAGAAATCCTTTCTCGCGCGAGCGATGACTCGTTCATTATCCTATAACAAAATTGCATGTGTTATGAAAAATTCAATTAGAAATTTGGCGTATGTTATGTTGTGTTCATAAAAAATTTAAACCTTGGTATACAACAATAAATGGAAAGGTATTAAATTGCAATAGTTATCGTTTTGTTACGAAATAGAAATAATTAAATAAATTGAAACACATAGTTATTTGAACACATAGTTATCAATGATAGAAAGTGTGCTTAACAATTATATATTTAACATAATTTTTAAATACGCGATTATTGTGCATATTCAGATAACTTCAGATAACATGTAGGAGATTGAATTGTTGATCTTTTTTACAATATTTACTTTAACAAGTTTATATGTATATTTTTTACACTGTATAGTAGTGAAAATAATAGTTTTTTTCTTTAATTTGCAATATCAAATTGATTTTGTCCATATAAAATAACAAATAGTAGCTGTTACAAAATAACAGCTATGTACTGTTTATAGCAATTTTTCCGATTGTCATCCTATATGTGTGTACATGTCCTCCGATAGGTAACGTAAAACAATAAACAATATAGCAATATTAATTCACTAGTTGCCTGATAACTGATTTACGTTTGTTTTTAACAAAAATTGGCGTTAAGTTGCAAAGGGTGAGAGGTGCAAAATAATTATCACAGATAAAGACGATCGTTTAACAATATTGGGCATAAATTGGAAAGAAAGAATAATATTCAAGCAATTCTGAAATAATAAAGAAAATCAGTTGTATCTTGATTTGAAGATACTCTGACGATGGTCAGTAAAAGCTGATTCTGCAAGAGGGTAAACTACTCGATAAAATATTTGCATACAAACATGCCTTCATGTCTTCCTGCATTGTGCTGTGCGTCGGTCCACCTTGTACCGAGGACGGTCGACCCGCTGCCGGCCTAGTGGCAATCGGCGCGACCTTCCTCGTGTTCTCCTTCTCTTTCTCCTCCTTGGTGACCGACCTGAATCGATCAAATTGATCCTATGACAATCGCATCAAACCGAACATCGATTCGCACGAATCGATAAAATAAATTAGCTAACTACGACGGAATCCGTGTGAAGGTGCGAGCACGCTCAAACTCTCACGGGTGCTCTCGCTTTTCTTTTGCGCGCGAATGACGCAAATCCGTGATGAACGACGGTAGACAGTGGATACAACGTGTGTGGACGACGCGTGTAAATCCAATAAGCAAAGTGTTTGATTACGTTTGTGACTGTCGGATGTAAGATGATTTCGAGTTATTTCAAGACAATCCCATTAGGATTCATCTCTTTAAGTGCGACCTTCAAAATGACAAGCTTCGAAATGGCAGATAGAATAAGAGTGCGAATTGCTTGAAACGGTACACGCGTGTGTTCAAAGTGCGTTCGAATTACACAAAGTGTGATCGAATTTACGCATTTCTGAAAATGCTACGAAATGCAAAATGAATTCAACCTGAAGTTCTTATTTGCGAGCCTTTTCGTATTTAAAAACCACGAAAGTACAAATTGGTAATAAAGTTCATCGACGGAATTTCATAGTAGTTAAAATTCGTAAGCGGAAACTATGTCGAACAAAGGTATATTCAATCAATATAATTACTACTGTCCAGGATATTTCGCGTTGGAAATATTTTCTGGCAAGTTATTGCACAATGTCTAACTATACGATTCCGCGAAATGTTTCGTTGATAAATAGACAAATGAGAAAAGAATGTACACGAATCGCAATTGCCGAACAATTCCAACAAATCACAAGTCGTTACTCGTGTACAACGGCAACGACAACAAAGACAACACCAATAACGATACAAACGAGCGTCTCTCATTGGAAAATGATGGAGTATAGTGTACTGGCCTGGCAAGGGATAAGGCGTTGAGCGCGTGGTTACTGGAGACTCGTTTCCACAGCGAAGCCTCGTCTTCGGCTGCCAGACCGCAACCCCAGTCACGATGCTAACGCAAATCAAAATGTGTCAGCATCCATCTATGTGTCTATGTTTGTTATTTCCATGAAAATCTAATCTACCACTGGGTGTTGCGACAATACATTTTCTAAGAAAGGTAACACTAAAAATTGGTCACGCTGACGCTGATCAACATTAACTCCGATTAAGTTTTCCGCCCTACTCCTGAACAGATTGTCTTAAAGTGTTAAGTTTGTTTCTGGAAAGATATTTTTATCGATTTATGCAAGGTGTTTGATAACGCTGGGTGTAACACCGGCTCGTGGATAGGTAGAGCATTAGGTGTCAGCTGTACATGCCAAAAATAAGTAATATTTTTAATTTCTCTCCAGTTTTCATATAAAATTGACCGTAACCTTCCGTAATTTTTATGCGCACACTTTAATCGCGTGGAAGAATTTTGCAATTTTATAAAGCCACTTCGAAGATTAGTTACATTTTACAATAAAAAAATTGATAATTTTAAATACAAATTTTGTTTTAGCAGATTTCTAAACTCAGCATTTTAAGTACGAAAATGTTCTACTGTGCGATCCGCACCCTGTCGTGGTATTATTTTGTGCATAAAAGCCAACTGTGTCGGTGATACAACGACTTTGGGATTCCCTTAAATTGAATAGAAGTTTTGTACTATCTTGTAATTTTTACAATTATTAACGAGAAATTAACTAATAAAGAAAGTAAAACTGATGAGGTGGCAATGAGAGTTAACGTAATTCTTATCTACCTTACGAAAAAGTAACGAAATGATTACTAGATTACACAATGTTTTTGTATATAAAGAAAAATTCATTTTTTAAATAAAGTTTGCACAATTAAAATGTAACTCTGTTTCTAGATGTTTGACTTAATCAAAGTTAATTAACCACACTATCAATGCACACGATACACTATGAGAACACACGAAAAACATGCTTGGGAAGAGTGTATGTGAAGCTAGCGTCTCATCTCGTGGAAACTCATTAACTATTGAGAGTTCTGGCTTCTTTTAGAATAGTTCTAGAGTTCCTGATACATTAAACACATAGTTCTGGCCTTTAAAGCCAAAAAATCGATTAGTGCAAAGTGAGACGCCAACTTCACCCAGCGTCTCACTTTA